GAACTGCCAAAAGTTCAGAATGTGAACCGTTGCTTGGAGGGAAAAGTCACGCGACGGTTCGAACCGCTGGCGACGTCGCCAACACCTTCACGAAACAGTCACGACAAAAAACGAAAAGGGTAACATTTTTGCAAATCGGACGGTCCACGGTTCGAACCGTCGGGAGAAAAAAAGGCACACGCCCTAAATGGTTGTGTTTCCTGACCAGTACCACGTGGCGGCTTCTGAGCCATCCACTTGCTAGGCGTGAGAGCAGATGAAGCCTCACACGAGTGTGGGTGCAAGGCGTGCTGTGCGGTTTACGACGGTGAACGTCTGTTTTGGCTTTCACTGCTTTCCACCATAAAGCACCAGTGTGTACCATCTATAAAAAATCTGGAAGCTGTCCAGAGATGAACCCCCGCCAAAACATACTCGTTATGCATGTTGGGCTGAAAAAAGCCCTTAGGATATTTGCAGGACTAAATTCTGAGTAGGACAATGTAATAGCGGAAGCGTTGAATAAGAACTCTGTGAACCACCTTGCGCTAGTATGTGAGGGCAAAGTAGATGATTAAAACAAAGGGATACAAGCTTTCATAAGAATACAAGGAATACGAAGAGATACAGTTAATAACCGTTTTGCTGTTGCTGTTGCGGTTCGATACAGTGACGACTCTGGCAACTGCTCAATAGCGAGTCAGTTGTTTGTCCTTGCTGTCGCGCTGTATTTGTCATGTCAAAAGTCGCTGACCTTTGACTTTCGCATAACCTCCAGCAGTTGTTCAACCTCCGAGGGTTGACTCGCTAATGCTTCGATATGTTTCGCTTCGCTTCTGACTTGGTGTTTCGACACGACAAAGGCGCTAAATCAATTGTTTCCAACAATGCAGCTCAGGTCTTAGAGCTCCTGGATGAGCAATCGATATATTTATACAGTTAACTCTATTAAAGCTAGTGTCCCGTACATATGGAGTTATCAAGTAATTCTGATGAACATAATCATTCCAACGAACATGGCGAGAAGAAATATCATGGTCAACCACGTCGATAAGCCAGTGCAAAACCCCTGCCGGGCCAACCGTGAAGCCCTCTGATTGGCCCGACTCAGGCTGGCCACGTTTCTCTCCATTGACTCCTCGGTTGCATCAAGAACCTGTATTTGTCAGGTCAAAAGTCGCTGACCTTTGACTTTCGCATAACCTCCAGCAGTTGTTCAACCTCCGAGGGTGACTCGCTAATGCTTCGATATGTTTCGCTTCGCTTCTGACTTGGTGTTTCGACACGACAAAGGCGCTAAATCAATTGTTTCCAACAATGCAGCTCAGGTCTTAGAGCTCCTGGATGAGCAATCGATATATTTATACAGTTAACTCTATTAAAGCTAGTGTCCCGTACATATGGAGTTATCAAGTAATTATGATGAACATAATCATTCCAACGAACATGGCGAGAAGAAATATCATGGTCAACCACGTCGATAAGCCAGTGCAAAACCCCTGCCGGGCCAACCGTGAAGCCCTCTGATTGGCCCGACTCAGGCTGGCCACGTTTCTCTCCATTGACTCCTCGGTTGCATCAAGAACCTGCACAAGAAGATGAAAACAGTTAACCATAATAAATACCCCTATAATTAGCAGCACAAAACAAATATAAGTACATTGTAATCATTCAACTCAACCACAGACAACGCAACTACTCCATGAGATGGCAGCAGCGTGTCACCTTATTGGAGCTTTTGACTTTCTCCTCCATGGCGAGCGAGTTGGCCTTCATCTGCCCTGCCAGCATCAACATTTGATCAGATAGCTCCTCCTGAAGATTCCTGGAGGGACGAGGGAAGAGAGAGGACAGACATGAAGAGAGAGGAGAGTGAGGAAGTGAGAAAGAGAGAAAGCGAAACGGAGGAGGGAGTGGAGGGGGAAGAGTGAGGTGGGGGGGAGGGGGGGAGCGAAAAGGGGAAGGGGGGCGGAGAAGAGCGAGATAGGAGTGCAAGAAGGGAAAGGGTCGGGGTAGAAATTGTGGAGAGAACATGCAAGCAAGCTTGAAGGAGATCAGCTGAGAAGAAGCAAGTGATGCTGCAAGAACATTACAAAGCATTACTTATGGGTTGTAATGATTGCTCTTGATGCGTCGTCCAGGGATGACCCAGGGAGAGAAGAACCTGATTGGCGATCTCTGAAAGGACGGCCTGTCAGACAGGACAAGACGATGCATGCATGGGGCAGTGTCACGGAGTTAAGTGGAAAGCCCATTACAAAAGGAATAGATGAAGTTGTGAGATGTCTCAAAATACAACCAACCAGCACACGGCACTGAGAAACAACTGGGTGGGTTTTGAAGGACAAAACAACCGACATGTAGTACAAAAACTGAAGGCATGAATGCATGCATGGCATCACGGATCATGGCCACCACCAAGAACAGAACCTACCCATGCCGACCCCTCAACTTGGCGGCGGCGTGATCGAAGGGCCCAGTGCCTCCCTGCCTTGCCCACCCGCAAAGGCTGCAGAAGATGGCACATAGCCCTGCAAGGCACCTCCTTCAATTTCTCCCTGCTGCTGCTGATGCGATGAAACAGGCTTGATTCCTCTAGAGGTTGATGATAGGTTGGGATCTTGAGGTACCAAGGCGTCCAGCTGGCAGTCGTACTTGAAGAGGCAGGCTGTCCTGCATGTGCCACATGTCAGGCTGTGGTTGGTGAGATGAGGTGCAGGAAGACATATCAGTTTGGTGATTCGGGAAGCAAGTGACAACGCACAACGGAGTTGCAAGACTGATCAGTGAAGCTTAGTCAGCTGCCAGCACATGGTCATCCAGTAAGAAGGGTTATATTATATGCCACCGAAAAAAACACTGCAAAAAAAATAAAAGACCCCGATTTTGTACGATTCATAAGAATCACACGAGTCATGCGATTCACATGAAGCATACACATCACATAACTCGTTACCAGCACGTGCTCTTCCAGCAAGTCAGCCAACAAGGTGATTCGCTGAAGGTACGCCTCCGCCCTTGCCCGCCTGGGCTTGCGCTGCTGCCGAAACAGGGAGGCTGCAGAAAGGGACGCAATGCAGCGGCAAGGGAACCGGAAACGATTGTGCGTTGTATAGAAAGAGATGTTTTGTAAGCTGCAGAGTAGAATTACTAAGATGTATAGGAATGCCGATGACATGATCCTGGAGCAGGGTAGGACTGGCGCAGGGTAGGACTGGCGCAGGGTAGGACTGGCGCAGGGTAGGACCGGGTCAGGTTAGGACCTGCAGCAGTGTAGGACCAGAGCAGGTTAGGACTGGAGCAGGGTAGGACTGGGAGCAGGGTAGGACTGGAGCAGGTTAGGACTGGAGCAGGTTAGGACTGGAGCAGGGTAGGACTGGAGGAAGGGACCACAGAACAGCCTAACACAGATTGTCTCTACAGAAAACGGTCCAGCTTGCAAGTGGGGGAAAAACAGCATGAAGCTAATTGACGAAAAGAAATTGCAAACAAGATGCTGTTGCGCTTGCTGATACCTGTACTGTATCTTGCCGACTGGCCTGCTGTGTCTGCTCTTTTGAGGCAACTTCAAACGTCGTCTCTTAACCCGAAATTGGGACGTCTCAAAAGCCGTCACTTACCCGGAAACGGCAAACAGAATGCTATTCCCTTGCTGAAAGCTGCACTGTACCTTGCAGACCGGCCTGCTGAGTCGGGTCTTGACTCCAGCTGCGATTGCGCGAAGAGCTCGCGGAGATACGCGACGTACTGCGGGAGAGTGGGATTGGCATAGGGATTGACGAACGGAATCGAAAGGCTCGAAGAGAAGGATGGAGGCCGGGTCATCAAATGAGAGGCAAAGTTAGAGGCAATCGAGGCATACAGCCTGCGTTCTGAAAGGCATCTGTGTGTGATCGACCGCTCCAGCGATCCGTGACCGAAAGACTTTTTCCGAGGCGCCTTAAAAAGGAAAAAAAGCCGTGAAAGAAAGAGCCGTGGCTGAGCACATATCGGTGAACGGCAGAGCTGTGACATGAATCAACGGCTCGCTCGCAATCTCACCCACGTTGTGGAATTTGAAATCTCGTTGCAGCTCGGCTGCTGATTGGCTCCGTGCGATGCGCTCACAGCATCGCAACAGGCGGTAAAGGTCTACTTCCAATCGCGTACAGGGAGTCGGCAAAGGCGGAAGCTGCTCTAGCGCAGCCAACGCCGTGCCTTGACTGTCTGGCAGTTCCTGTGGTTGTCCCTCATATTTTAAGAACGGCGGCGGTGGGGCTGTTTGTAGGCCAAGTGACATGATGGTGAGACACGTGGACAATGAGAAGCTATTGCGGAGTCGGTCCCTTAATCAGGCAACCAAATTAGCGAGGAAATGACGGACCACCGTGTTTGCGCGTTTTCGATTCCTTTCGGCAGTGGCTTAGACAGCGACTCTCTCCGTGTTAGCTGTTGGAATGTTGCCTTCGCACAGGAAGGGTGTAATTCGGCAGAGCTTCCGAATATACGCTACATACAATTCTGTACTGTAGTGAGATCTGGATGGTTTGTATATACTGTATCAAAGAGTTTTTCATGGTTCTCGTCCTTCACCATTCTTCACCAACTTCATCACAACAAGGGAGACCACGTGGTAGCCCACGTGCCCACGTGGAGCGCGCGCCGCAATTCATCCTCCAGCATGGCATGCACCAAAGCGATTTTGCGAGATGCATGGAGATCCATCCTTCGCGCGGAAACACAACACGGTTACTATGGATTCCGCAGCCATAGATTGTACTCACGAAAGCATCTGGCACGTCGCCAACACGACCAATGTCCCTTCGTTTGGCTTCTATCATTCGCAGCAGCAAACCAAACCAAATTCTTTGTCTGCTGGACTCACTTCACTGGCCCACCCTCCAAATCCAAGAAATAGCTAAGGCGGAAGATTCTAGGAGCTCCCTTGCCTTGTATGCCTTCCCACCTCTTCCATTTGCACGCTTCCGTTCTCATTTCAGAGCGCTTGTCGCCGTTCCTGCGTGCGTCGTAGTCACGCCGTTATGGATCGCTCATCGTTGCTTCCGCAGACCGCAGCCAGACCGCGAACAGCATTCGCATACGTTCCGCTAGCGCTGACCTTGGGGTTATTCACCTTCCTTTTCTTCTCGCGCCTCGCTTACGAATCTCGCGACGCCGGTTCGTCGGTGGACGGTCGCGATGAGGACGGGTTGAGCTGCGGGTTTCTGCCGAAGCTCTTTTCGCTCGTGTCCAATGAGAGCCTCGCGTTGCACCTTCGGGAGCTCACCGCCAAGCCGCACATCGCGGGCACCCCCGAAAACTTCGAAACTGCCCGTTACGTCAAGGAGAAATTCGAGGTGTGAATTCGAGACTTTATGGATAAAATTTTCATTCAGTCTCCTCGTGTCACGTGCGCGCATCACCATAGGATTTCACATCCCATCAACTCTTTTTGTCCATCTCACCTTCCCAACCATCTTTCCCCCCCTCCCTTTCCCCCATTGCCCCCTCTCTCCCCCCCCACACACACTTCCCCGCATCACACGGCAGTCGTACGGCCTGCGAGCGCACTACGCGGACTATCCCGTGCTGCTCTCCTACCCGCTGCGCCAGTCGCTCCGCCTCGTGCGCCCCGTCGTGCACAACTTCTCGCTGCGCGAGGAGCCCGTCCACGGCGATCCGTTTAGCGCCTCGCGCGCCGCCACCGATCCTTTTAACGCGTATTCCGGTAGCGGGAGGGTCGGCGGGAAGGCCAGCGGGAGGGTGAGCGGAAAGGGGGCGGGAGAGGAGGAGGCGGAGGGGGAAGGAGCGGGAGAGGCGGAAGGAGCAGCGGTGGTGTATGCGAATTATGGGCGCATGGAAGATTTTGAAGAGCTGGTGGCGGCGATTGGGGAGGAGCAGGTGAAAGGCGCAGTGGCGCTGATTCGTTATGGAAAGACTTTTAGAGGGGATAAGGTGAGCACATACAGTTCGTATTCTGTCAGCAAGCCATACTCTTCCATGTGAAAACGGTCCCCTTTCCAACCCAAATTTCCGCCCTCCCTCGGGCCCTTTCCCCCCAAATAACGAACGTCCATCCTTTTGTACCGAACCTTTTCGTCAGGTTCGGAATGCAGAGAGGTTTCGGCGTGGCAGCAGTGCTGCTGTACTCTGACCCAGCGGATTACGCACCAGAGGGCACAGATGCGGAGCATGTGTACCGCAGCAGCAATGGCTGCCTGCTACTGGCGCTCAGCGAGGCACCATCTACACAGGTAAGGCACCGGTGCACGGCGCGTGTAAGCCCAGGAGCAATGGCCATGTGTGACTGGCGCCCAGAGAGGCACCATCTAGAATAATACCTACCTCCATGCTGATGTGATGACGCAATGGCATTCATACATGCTGATGTGATGACGCAATGGCATTCATACATGCTGATGTGATGACGCAATGGTATTCATACATGCTGATGTGATGACGCAATGGTTTTCATACATGCACCACCATGCGCCATGCGGACCATGCGGACTCATCCCTCTCCTCTCCTCTCCTTCCCGTGGTTTTCCCAGGCAAGGGTGACCCAGCCACGCCTGGCTGGCCGTCCCACCCTGGCGGAGAGAGATTAAGCGATGAGGAAACAGCCAAGCGCCTGCCGCGCATCCCGGTGCTGCCAGTGGGGTATTCGGTGGCGGGGAGCATCATGGCGCACATGGGGGGGAGGGCAGTGCCGGAGGAGTGGCGTGGCGGCATGGATGGCGTGGAGTATGTGTTTGGGCCGGGGCCTGCTGCTGTTGACATGGAAGTGCAGGTGAGAGATTGCGTGGGGGAGAGGTTGCGTGGGGGAGAGGTTTGCGTGGGGGAGTGGTTGCGTGGGGGAGTGGTTGCGTGGGGGAGTGGTTGCGTGGGGGAGAGGTTGCGTGGGGGAGAGGTTGCGTGGGGGAGAGGTTGCGTGCTGCGTGCATGTGACCATGCGTGTCATCGCTCTTGCACGTGCATGATACGTGTATCCGCCGCCATGCATTTTGCACAGTGAGTGTGGGGTTCATGCACCTTGCTTGAGGCCATCCATCCCTCATCTCCACTCTCATCCTTCGCACTGCCTGACCGCTCTCCCCATCCCCTGCCTGTTATTTTGGGATTTTCTCCTACCATCTGTTGACCTGAGAGCAGATGAACGCCACTGTGACCAATGGTAGGATCATTTGCTCTCATCCGCAACGTTTATTGTTGAGTATTTTCACGAGTGTCTCCTCTCTCATCCTCCACACACCTGCATTTGTCTGCCTGCCCGCCCTGCCTATTTCCTGCCCTGATCCGCAGATGAACGCCACAGTCACCACCATTCGCAACGTCATTGGCGTGCTGCCAGGCTCCCACCAGCCCGACAGGTGCGCTACTGAGGGCACCGGCAATAGTAGAATGCTGGGTGCCTGATTTGCAGCCTTGGCTGAAATGAAGCCACCAGCCACCACCAGTGCCACGCAGAGCTGCATTTCAGCTGTGCTTTAATCACTTCGGAGATTGTGATGCATTCTGTCCTCATCTCGTGTGAAAGTCAGTGACATCACGTCAATATACCTTTCCTCCCCCCTCCCCCACCCCCTCACCCCCCCCCCCCCCCCCCCACCATCACCACCACCACCACCACCACCACCACCACGACGGCAGGTACATCATATTGGGCAACCATCGCGATGCGTGGGTGTTTGGCGCTGCAGATCCCAACAGCGGCACCACCTGCTTGCTCGAGGTACCACCTGCTTGCTCGAGGTAGCTGGATAGGGTTGTTGGATAGGCTACTATCCAGATTGCCGTGCCATAGTAGCTGTTGGTTCAAAGCGCCTTTTTCTTCAGGTCCAGCAGGGCCCAACAGGGATGCTTCTGGAACTGCACACAGATCTGGGATCGTGCTTGAGATCGCCGTGTTATATCATTCTGTGAACTCAATTCTTTTTCTGACGTCTCAAAAGACGTCTCAAAAGACGTCTGAAAAGACTTCTCAAAAGACGTCTCAAAAGAAGACGTCTCAAAAGAAGACGTCTCAAAAGACGTCTCAAAAGAAGACGTCTCAAAAGACGTCTCAAAAGAAGACGTCTCAAAAGACGTCTCAAAGATCGCCGTGTTATATCATTCTGTGAACGCAATGCCTTTTCTTTTTCCCCCGAATCTTTCTTCCCCTCAACCCTGTTCTTGACAGGTGGCGCGTGCGTTTGGCCACATGGCAGCACATGGTTGGCCGCCTCGCCGCTCGCTTGTGTTTGCCAGCTGGGATGCCGAGGAGTACGGATGTGTGAGTGTGACACTGAGGGGGGGTGACAGTCGAGGGGTGACCGGGTGACGGTATACGGGTGACAGTGTAGGGGTGATGGTACAGGGCTGACAAGATAGGGGTGGCACTGTGACAGTGTAGGGGTGAGGTTGCGGGATAGGGAAGACAGAATAGGGGGAGGATGGAAAAAGGTGTTTTCTCCTCCCATTCCTCTCCCTCACTCTTCTCTCACCCTTTGCTCCTCTCATCCCCGTGCTCATACCCCAGCTAGGGTCAACCGAATGGGTAGAGGACAACGTGCCAGTGCTAGCAACAGCAGCCATGGCGTACATCAACGTGGACGTGGCTGTGGGGGGAGGGGGAGTGCTTTCATCTGAGATTCATTTCTTTCCCATTCCTCAACCTCACACTCTGCGCACCCTTTCTTCTCCCTTCAGTTGGGATCAACGGAGTGGGCAGAGGACAATGCACCAGTGCTAGCAACAGCAGCCATGGCGTACATCAACGTGGACGTGGCTGTGTGGGGGGGAGGGAGAGTGCTTCAATACAAGTGCCATTTCTTTCCCCATGCCCATGCCCTTCCCTATGTTCGCCTCACACTACAGTTGGGATCGACAGAGTGGGCAGAGGACAATGCACCGGTCCTAGCAACAGCAGCCATGGCGTACATCAACGTGGACGTGGCTGTGGGGGGAGGGGGCTTCCATGCCTCCTCCACCCCGCAGCTTGATGACCTCATCCGTGACGTCAGCAGCCAGGTAGGCATGCTGATGTCAGCAGCCACGTGCGCTGATGACATTGAGACATGTGGTGGACTGGCCGAGAACCTGTTAGGAGGAGTTTTGAGAAACTTCTGAGAATGAAAAAACAAAAACAAAATAACAAAGAAAGACGTTTCCATACCCTCCCCACTTCATTCCGTCCCTCTCTCCTCAATCTCCCTCCCTCTCCCCACTGTCCCGTGCTTCCCTCTCCGTTCTCTCCCCTCCCTCATCTCCCCTCCCTCGCCCCACAGGTGGCCAGTCCTGACGGTCCAGCTGGCGAGTCGATATTGGAGGGGTGGGCGGCTGAGCACAACACGTCAGAGCCTGAGGTGAGTTTTAGACGATGCATGGTGCATGGTGCATGGTGCATGAATGGTGCATACGTATGTTGTGAGGGTGATTTGGTGAAGCACATGGCATGCTTCCTGAGAGATGCCACAACACCAGCTTTCCTGTATTGTGCTTCAGCAATGACCCGCACACAGTACAGAACAGCAATAACCTCCCTGAAGCACCATGAAAAACACCTGTTTGATGAATCATCACATATGCCCTCACATGCCCACCCACACGTTCCGCACCTCCAAATCTCATTCTCAGACGTCACCATCCCATTCCGCATATCCGAATGATGGTGTGAGGGACTCGTCCCACTGTCATTTCCATTGCCGTTGTGCGTCGACTAAAAAAATGGACTCATCCCACTGTCATTTCCATTGCCGTTGTGCGTCGACTCAAAAAATGGACTCATCCCACTGTCATTTCCATTGCCGTTGTGCGTCGACTAAAAAAATGGACTCATCCCACTGTCATTTCCATTGCCGTTGTGCGTCGACTCAAAAAATGGACTCATCCCACTGTCATTTCCATTGCCGTTGTGCGTCGACTCAAAAAATGGACTCATCCCACTGTCATTTCCATTGCCGTTGTGCGTCGACTCAAAAAATGGACTCGTCCCACTGTCATTTCCATTGCCGTTGTGCGTCGACTCAAAAAATGGACTCGTCCCACTGTCATTTCCATTGCCGTTGTGCGTCGACTCAAAAAATGGACTCGTCCCACTGTCATTTCCATTGCCGTTGTGCGTCGACTAAAAAAATGGACTCATCCCACTGTCATTTCCATTGCCGTTGTGCGTCGACTCAAAAAATGGACTCATCCCACTGTCATTTCCATTGCCGTTGTGCGTCGACTCAAAAAATGGACTCATCCCACTGTCATTTCCATTGCCGTTGTGCGTCGACTCAAAAAATGGACTCATCCCACTGTCATTTCCATTGCCGTTGTGCGTCGACTCAAAAAATGGACTCATCCCACTGTCATTTCCATTGCCGTTGTGCGTCGACTCAAAAAATGGACTCATCCCACTGTCATTTCCATTGCCGTTGTGCGTCGACTCAAAAATGGACTCATCCCACTGTCATTGCCATTGCCGTTGTGAGTCGACTCAAAAATGGACTCGTCCCACTGTCATTTCCATTGCCGTTGTGCGTCGACTCAAAAAATGGACTCGTCCCACTGTCATTTCCATTGCCGTTGTGCGTCGACTAAAAAATGGACTCATCCCACTGTCATTTCCATTGCCGTTGTGCGTCGACTCAAAAAATGGACTCATCCCACTGTCATTTCCATTTGCCGTTGTGCGTCGACTAAAAAAATGGACTCATCCCACTGTCATTTCCATTGCCGTTGTGCGTCGACTCAAAAAATGGACTCGTCCCACTGTCATTTCCATTGCCGTTGTGCGTCGACTCAAAAAATGGACTCGTCCCACTGTCATTTCCATTGCCGTTGTGCGTCGACTCAAAAAATGGACTCGTCCCACTGTCATTTCCATTGCCGTTGTGCGTCGACTCAAAAAATGGACTCATCCCACTGTCATTTCCATTGCCGTTGTGCGTCGACTCAAAAAATGGACTCGTCCCACTGTCATTTCCATTGCCGTTGTGCGTCGACTCAAAAAATGGACTCATCCCACTGTCATTTCCATTGCCGTTGTGCGTCGACTCAAAAAATGGACTCATCCCACTGTCATTTCCATTGCCGTTGTGCGTCGACTCAAAAATGGACTCATCCCACTGTCATTTCCATTGCCGTTGTGCGTCGACTCAAAAAATGGACTCGTCCCACTGTCATTTCCATTGCCGTTGTGCGTCGACTCAAAAAATGGACTCGTCCCACTGTCATTTCCATTGCCGTTGTGCGTCGACTCAAAAAATGGACTCGTCCCACTGTCATTTCCATTGCCGTTGTGCGTCGACTCAAAAAATGGACTCGTCCCACTGTCATTTCCATTGCCGTTGTGCGTCGACTCAAAAAATGGACTCATCCCACTGTCATTTCCATTGCCGTTGTGCGTCGACTCAAAAATGGACTCATCCCACTGTCAATTCCATTGCCGTTGTGCGTCGACTCAAAAAATGGACTCATCCCACTGTCATTTCCATTGCCGTTGTGCGTCGACTCAAAAAATGGACTCGTCCCACTGTCATTTCCATTGCCGTTGTGCGTCGACTCAAAAAATGGACTCGTCCCACTGTCATTTCCATTGCCGTTGTGCGTCGACTCAAAAAATGGACTCGTCCCACTGTCATTTCCATTGCCGTTGTGCGTCGACTAAAAAAATGGACTCATCCCACTGTCATTGCCATTGCCGTTGTGAGTCGACTCAAAAAATGGACTCGTCCCACTGTCATTTCCATTGCCGTTGTGCGTCGACTAAAAAAATGGACTCGTCCCACTGTCATTTCCATTGCCGTTGTGCGTCGACTAAAAAAATGGACTCATCCCACTGTCATTTCCATTGCCGTTGTGCGTCGACTCAAAAAATGGACTCATCCCACTGTCATTTCCATTGCCGTTGTGCGTCGACTCAAAAAATGGACTCATCCCACTGTCATTTCCATTGCCGTTGTGCGTCGACTCAAAAAATGGACTCATCCCACTGTCATTTCCATTGCCGTTGTGCGTCGACTCAAAAAATGGACTCATCCCACTGTCATTTCCATTGCCGTTGTGCGTCGACTCAAAAAATGGACTCATCCCACTGTCATTTCCATTGCCGTTGTGCGTCGACTCAAAAAATGGACTCATCCCACTGTCATTTCCATTGCCGTTGTGCGTCGACTCAAAAATGGACTCATCCCACTGTCATTTCCATTGCCGTTGTGCGTCGACTCAAAAAATGGACTCGTCCCACTGTCATTTCCATTGCCGTTGTGCGTCGACTCAAAAATGGACTCGTCCCACTGTCATTTCCATTGCCGTTGTGCGTCGACTCAAAAAATGGACTCGTCCCACTGTCATTTCCATTGCCGTTGTGCGTCGACTCAAAAAATGGACTCGTCCCACTGTCATTTCCATTGCCATTGTGCGTCGACTCAAAAAATGGACTCATCCCACTGTCATTTCCATTGCCGTTGTGCGTCGACTCAAAAAATGGACTCATCCCACTGTCATTTCCATTGCCGTTGTGCGTCGACTCAAAAAATGGACTCATCCCACTGTCATTTCCATTGCCGTTGTGCGTCGACTCAAAAAATGGACTCATCCCACTGTCATTTCCATTGCCGTTGTGCGTCGACTCAAAAAATGGACTCGTCCCACTGTCATTTCCATTGCCGTTGTGCGTCGACTCAAAAAATGGACTCGTCCCACTGTCATTTCCATTGCCGTTGTGCGTCGACTCAAAAAATGGACTCGTCCCACTGTCATTTCCATTGCCGTTGTGCGTCGACTCAAAAAATGGACTCGTCCCACTGTCATTTCCATTGCCGTTGTGCGTCGACTCAAAAAATGGACTCGTCCCACTGTCATTTCCATTGCCGTTGTGCGTCGACTCAAAAAATGGACTCATCCCACTGTCATTTCCATTGCCGTTGTGCGTCGACTCAAAAAATGGACTCGTCCCACTGTCATTTCCATTGCCATTGTGCGTCGACTCAAAAAATGGACTCATCCCACTGTCATTTCCATTGCCGTTGTGCGTCGACTCAAAAAATGGACTCATCCCACTGTCATTTCCATTGCCGTTGTGCGTTCGACTCAAAAAATGGACTCATCCCACTGTCATTTCCATTGCCGTTGTGTGTCGACTCAAAAAATGGACTCATCCCACTGTCATTTCCATTGCCGTTGTGCGTCGACTCAAAAAATGGACTCGTCCCACTGTCATTTCCATTGCCGTTGTGCGTCGACTCAAAAAATGGACTCGTCCCACTGTCATTTCCATTGCCGTTGTGCGTCGACTCAAAAAATGGACTCGTCCCACTGTCATTTCCATTGCCGTTGTGCGTCGACTCAAAAAATGGACTCGTCCCACTGTCATTTCCATTGCCGTTGTGCGTCGACTCAAAAAATGGACTCATCCCACTGTCATTTCCATTGCCGTTGTGCGTCGACTCAAAAAATGGACTCATCCCACTGTCAATTCCATTGCCGTTGTGCGTCGACTCAAAAAATGGACTCATCCCACTGTCATTTCCATTGCCGTTGTGCGTCGACTCAAAAAATGGACTCATCCCACTGTCATTTCCATTGCCGTTGTGCGTCGACTCAAAAATGGACTCATCCCACTGTCATTTCCATTGCCGTTGTGCGTCGACTCAAAAAATGGACTCATCCCACTGTCATTTCCATTGCCGTTGTGCGTCGACTCAAAAAATGGACTCGTCCCACTGTCATTTCCATTGCCGTTGTGCGTCGACTCAAAAAATGGACTCATCCCACTGTCATTTCCATTGCCGTTGTGCGTCGACTCAAAAAATGGACTCATCCCACTGTCATTTCCATTGCCGTTGTGCGTCGACTCAAAAAATGGACTCATCCCACTGTCATTTCCATTGCCGTTGTGCGTCGACTCAAAAAATGGACTCGTCCCACTGTCATTTCCATTGCCGTTGTGCGTCGACTAAAAAAATGGACTCATCCCACTGTCATTTCCATTGCCGTTGTGCGTCGACTCAAAAAATGGACTCATCCCACTGTCATTTCCATTGCCGTTGTGCGTCGACTCAAAAAATGGACTCATCCCACTGTCATTTCCATTGCCGTTGTGCGTCGACTCAAAAAATGGACTCATCCCACTGTCATTGCCATTGCCGTTGTGAGTCGACTCAAAAAATGGACTCGTCCCACTGTCATTTCCATTGCCGTTGTGCGTCGACTCAAAAAATGGACTCGTCCCACTGTCATTTCCATTGCCGTTGTGCGTCGACTCAAAAAATGGACTCATCCCACTGTCATTTCCATTGCCGTTGTGCGTCGACTCAAAAAATGGACTCATCCCACTGTCATTTCCATTGCCGTTGTGCGTCGACTAAAAAAATGGACTCATCCCACTGTCATTTCCATTGCCGTTGTGCGTCGACTAAAAAAATGGACTCGTCCCACTGTCATTTCCATTGCCGTTGTGCGTCGACTCAAAAAATGGACTCATCCCACTGTCATTTCCATTGCCGTTGTGCGTCGACTCAAAAAATGGACTCGTCCCACTGTCATTTCCATTGCCGTTGTGCGTCGACTCAAAAAATGGACTCATCCCACTGTCATTTCCATTGCCGTTGTGCGTCGACTCAAAAAATGGACTCATCCCACTGTCATTTCCATTGCCGTTGTGCGTCGACTAAAAAATGGACTCATCCCACTGTCATTTCCATTGCCGTTGTGCGTCGACTCAAAAAATGGACTCATCCCACTGTCATTTCCATTGCCGTTGTGCGTCGACTCAAAAAATGGACTCATCCCACTGTCATTTCCATTGCCGTTGTGCGTCGACTCAAAAAATGGACTCATCCCACTGTCATTTCCATTGCCGTTGTGCGTCGACTCAAAAAATGGACTCATCCCACTGTCATTTCCATTGCCGTTGTGCGTCGACTCAAAAAATGGACTCATCCCACTGTCATTTCCATTGCCGTTGTGCCTCGACTCAAAAAATGGACTCGTCCCACTGTCATTTCCATTGCCGTTGTGCGTCGACTCAAAAAATGGACTCGTCCCACTGTCATTTCCATTGCCGTTGTGCGTCGACTCAAAAAATGGACTCATCCCACTGTCATTTCCATTGCCGTTGTGCGTCGACTCAAAAAATGGACTCGTCCCACTGTCATTTCCATTGCCGTTGTGCGTCGACTCAAAAAATGGACTCATCCCACTGTCATTTCCATTGCCGTTGTGCGTCGACTCAAAAAATGGACTCATCCCACTGTCATTTCCATTGCCGTTGTGCGTCGACTCAAAAAATGGACTCATCCCACTGTCATTTCCATTGCCGTTGTGTGTCGACTCAAAAAATGGACTCGTCCCACTGTCATTTCCATTGCCGTTGTGCGTCGACTCAAAAAATGGACTCGTCCCACTGTCATTTCCATTGCCGTTGTGCGTCGACTCAAAAAATGGACTCGTCCCACTGTCATTTCCATTGCCGTTGTGCGTCGACTCAAAAAATGGACTCGTCCCACTGTCATTTCCATTGCCGTTGTGCGTCGACTCAAAAAATGGACTCGTCCCACTGTCATTTCCATTGCCGTTGTGCGTCGACTCAAAAAATGGACTCATCCCACTGTCATTTCCATTGCCGTTGTGCGTCGACTCAAAAAATGGACTCATCCCACTGTCAATTCCATTGCCGTTGTGCGTCGACTCAAAAAATGGACTCATCCCACTGTCATTTCCATTGCCGTTGTGCGTCGACTCAAAAAATGGACTCATCCCACTGTCATTTCCATTGCCGTTGTGCGTCGACTCAAAAAATGGACTCATCCCACTGTCATTTCCATTGCCGTTGTGCGTCGACTCAAAAAATGGACTCATCCCACTGTCATTTCCATTGCCGTTGTGCGTCGACTCAAAAAATGGACTCGTCCCACTGTCATTTCCATTGCCGTTGTGCGTCGACTCAAAAAATGGACTCATCCCACTGTCATTTCCATTGCCGTTGTGCGTCGACTCAAAAAATGGACTCATCCCACTGTCATTTCCATTGCCGTTGTGCGTCGACTCAAAAAATGGACTCATCCCACTGTCATTTCCATTGCCGTTGTGCGTCGACTCAAAAAATGGACTCGTCCCACTGTCATTTCCATTGCCGTTGTGCGTCGACTAAAAAAATGGACTCATCCCACTGTCATTTCCATTGCCGTTGTGCGTCGACTCAAAAATGGACTCATCCCACTGTCATTTCCATTGCCGTTGTGCGTCGACTCAAAAAATGGACTCATCCCACTGTCATTTCCATTGCCGTTGTGCGTCGACTCAAAAAATGGACTCATCCCACTGTCATTGCCATTGCCGTTGTGAGTCGACTCAAAAAATGGACTCGTCCCACTGTCATTTCCATTGCCGTTGTGCGTCGACTCAAAAAATGGACTCGTCCCACTGTCATTTCCATTGCCGTTGTGCGTCGACTCAAAAAATGGACTCATCCCACTGTCATTTCCATTGCCGTTGTGCGTCGACTCAAAAAATGGACTCATCCCACTGTCATTTCCATTGCCGTTGTGCGTCGACTCAAAAAATGGACTCATCCCACTGTCATTTCCATTGCCGTTGTGCGTCGACTAAAAAAATGGACTCATCCCACTGTCATTTCCATTGCCGTTGTGCGTCGACTCAAAAAATGGACTCGTCCCACTGTCATTTCCATTGCCGTTGTGCGTCGACTCAAAAAATGGACTCGTCCCACTGTCATTTCCATTGCCGTTGTGCGTCGGCTCAAAAAATGGACTCGTCCCACTGTCATTTCCATTGCCGTTGTGCGTCGACTCAAAAAATGGACTCATCCCACTGTCATTTCCATTTGCCGTTGTGCGTCGACTCAAAAAATGGACTCACCCCACTGTCATTTCCATTGCCGTTGTGCGTCGACTCAAAAAATGGACTCATCCCACTGTCATGTCCATTGCCGTTGTGCGTCGACTCAAAAAATGGACTCATCCCACTGTCATTTCCATTGCCGTTGTGCGTCGACTTAAAAAATGGACTCATCCCACTGTCATTTCCATTGCCGTTGTGCGTCGACTAAAAAAATGGACTCATCCCACTGTCATTTCCATTGCCGTTGTGCGTCGACTAACCAAGTTATGTGACGTCTGAAAGCTCATCTATCCCGTCTGAAAGCTCATCTATCCCGTCTGCCATCCCCAACCACACCCTGCAGTTGGGCCGGCTGGGAGGGGGGGGCAGCGACTATGCAGCATTTCTGCAGCACCTTGGGATTGCCGCAGCAGACACTCACTTTGGAGGATGTGAGTGTTATGAGGGGGTGGTGAGAGCTGGCAAGGGGTGGGCTGGTGTGAGCTCACAAGGGGTTGGTGTGAGCTTATAGAGGGGTGCTGTGAGCTTATAAGAGGATGAATTTTGAGGCCTACTCATCCCGTTCTTCCATTTCGCCCCTCCCCGTTTCCCCTCTCTCTTTCTGCACCCACCTACCCCGTGTACCACATCGTACGACAATTACCATTGGATGTCCAGGCACCTCAAAAATCCGCTCGCTTTCCCCCTCCCTCCTCCCCACCTCCTTTTCTCACTCTCTTATTGCTCGCAACCAGCCTACCCCATGTGCCACAGTGTGTACGACAAATACCACTGTTTGTAATGGGGTGGTGTGAGGATTGAGGGGGTGGTGTGAGGATTGAGGGGGTGGTGTGAGGTTTGAGGGGGTGGTGTGAGGTTTGAGGGGGTGGTGTGGGATGGGGGTTGGGGCTTTCAAGGCACCTCATAAGTCATCTTATCCTTCCCCTTTCCACCCTCTCTCCTGCTGCACCAGCCTACCCCATGTATCACAGTGTGTATGACAACTACCATTGAAACAGGTCTTCAGCCGCCTGAAAACTCCTCTTTCTTCTCCTTTCCCTCCACCACTTTTCCCCCTTACCCCATTCCCCTCTCTCCTGCTGCACCAGCCTACCCCATGTATCACAGTGTGTATGACAACTATCATTGGATGGCCACCTTTGCCGATCCACTCTTCAAGCGCCACGTGGCAGTCACCAAGATGATGGCTGGCGTGGCTGCCAGGCTGGCAGGCGACCATCGCCTGCCCTTCAACTACTCCGCCTACGCTATCCACCTGGAGCATGACGTGGCAAGGCTGCAGGCTGACGTGGCGGCACAAGGCGCCCCGTCATCTCTCTCAGTGGAGCCGCTCTTTGCATCTGTCTCTCGCCTCCTGACTGGTGCTCAAGGCATTGAAGTGGAAATTCAGGTGCGCAATCAGGCTGGTAATCAGGGGTGCACAGCGGTGGGGTGCACAGCGGTGGGGTGCACAGCGGTGGGGTGCACAGCGTTCTGGAGCATATTTGTGTCTGTCTCTCGCCTCCTAGCTGCTGCTCAAGGCATTTAAGAAGATATTCAGGTATTCCTGAAAATGCGTGTTCCGCGTTCAGGTGTGCAGTACAGTGGAGTGCAGTGCAGTGGGGTGCACAGCAGTGCGTGGAGCACTAGGCCACTCGGCACGCCCCACCAACCCCATGAGCTTTCGTCGGGAACTCGTCCCTCCCATCTTCCATCTCCACTTCCCTTTCTCCTCCACCCTTCCTCGCACTTCCCTTCTTATCCCTCCTTTTATTCCCCACTCCCTTTCTCCTCGCACCTCGTTCCAGCCCCATCTCACACCCCCCGAATCCCATGCACCCCTCCCACCACCACCACAGCAAATCGCAGCGGCCAGCAGCAGAGCATGCAGGTGCACGTGGGGGAGGGGTTGCCCCATGGAGGGCGCATCTGGGGAAGGCGCCAACTGAGGCCATTCACCCCCATCCCACACCCTCCCACCCCGCCACCCCTCCCACCACCACAGCAAATCGCAGCGTCCAGCAGCAGCGCGTGCAGGTGCACAAGGGGGAGGGGATGCCCCATGGAGGAAGGCGCCAACTGCCCGTCATCCAAGGCATTCGACGCAGTGAACGAGCGCCTCTTCCTGGCTGAGCGGGGGTTCCTGGACGGGCACGGAATCGGGCCTCACTACACGTGGTTCAAGCACCTGGTGGGTGGAAGGGACGAGTCATGGTGTGAGGTAGAATGGGCGGGGGTGCATTTCGGTGGGTTTGCTGTGGTGCTCAAGTGTGGGACAGGGGAGCTGTATTGGAGGGGGTAAATGGGCCTCTGTTTCTGGCCGAACGGGAATTCCTGAACGGGCACGGTATCGGCCCACACTTCATGTGGGTTGACATTGTTCCACAGAGAATGGTTCTGTATGGAATGAAAATAAATTGGCTTTGAGTGAGGCGGTATTTGGCGTGGTGTGCGGGTGCAAGGGTCTGACGTTCCTGCTCGGGCCTCTTGACCACGTGTCATGTGATTCAAGCACATTGTGGGGTTTGGTTGAAGCACATTGTGGGGTTTGGTTGAAGCACATTGTGGGGTTTGGTTGAAGCACATTGTGGGGTTTGGTTGAAGCACATTGTGGGGTTTGGTTGAAGCACATTGTGGGGTTTGGTTGAAGCACATTGTGGGGTTTGGTTGAAGCACATTGTGGGGTTTGGTTGAAGCACATTGTGGGGTTTGGTTGAAGCACATTGTGGGGTTTGGTTGAAGCACATTGTGGGGTTTGGTTGAAGCACATTGTGGGGTTTGGTTGAAGCACATTGTGGGGTTTGGTTGAAGCACATTGTGGGGTTTGGTTGAAGCACATTGTGGGGTTTGGTTGAAGCACATTGTGGGGTTTGGTTCAAGCACATTGTGGGGTTTGGTTGAAGCACATTGTGGGGTTTGGTTCAAGCACATTGTGGGGTTTGGTTCAAGCACATTGTGGGGTTTGGTTGAAGCACATTGTGGGGTTTGGTTGAAGCACATTGTGGGGTTTGGTTGAAGCACATTGTGGGGTTTGGTTGAAGCACATTGTGGGGTTTGGTTGAAGCACATTGTGGGGTTTGTTTGAAGCACATTGTGGGGTTTGGTTTGAAGCACATTGTGGGGTTTGGTTGAAGCACATTGTGGGGTTTGGTTGAAGCACATTGTGGGGTTTGGTTGAAGCACATTGTGGGGTTTGGTTGAAGCACATTGTGGGGTTTGGTTGAAGCACATTGTGGGGTTTGGTTGAAGCACATTGTGGGGTTTGGTTGAAGCACATTGTGGGGTTTGGTTGAAGCACATTGTGGGGTTTGGTTGAAGCACATTGTGGGGTTTGGTTGAAGCACATTGGGTTGGTGAGCACATGTGGGTTTGGTTGAAGCACATTGTGGGGTTTGGTTGAAGCACATTGTGGGGTTTGGTTGAAGCACATTGTGGGGTTTGGTTGAAGCACATTGTGGGGTTTGGTTGAAGCACATTGTGGGGTTTGGTTGAAGCACATTGTGGGGTTTGGTTGAAGCACATTGTGGGGTTTGGTTGAAGCACATTGTGGGGTTTGGTTGAAGCACATTGTGGGGTTTGGTTGAAGCACATTGTGGGTTTGGTTGAAGCACATTGTGGGGTTTGGTTGAAGCACATTGTGGGGTTTGGTTGAAGCACATTGTGGGGTTTGGTTGAAGCAGATTGTGGGGTTTGTTTGAAGCACATTGTGGGGTTTGGTTGAAGCACATTGTGGGGTTTGGTTGAAGCACATTGTGGGGTTTGGTTGAAGCACATTGTGGGGTTTGGTTGAAGCACATTGTGGGGTTTGGTTCAAGCACATTGTGGGGTTTGGTTCAAGCACATTGTGGGGTTTGGTTCAAGCACATTGTGGGGTTTGGTTGAAGCACATTGTGGGGTTTGGTTGAAGCACATTGTGGGGTTTGGTTGAAGCACATTGTGGGGTTTGGTTGAAGCACATTGTGGGGTTTGGTTGAAGCACATTGTGGGGTTTGGTTGAAGCACATTGTGGGGTTTGGTTGAAGCACATTGTGGGGTTTGGTTGAAGCACATTGTGGGGTTTGGTTGAAGCACATTGTGGGGTTTGGTTGAAGCACATTGTGGGGTTTGGTTGAAGCACATTGTGGGGTTTGGTTGAAGCACATTGTGGGGTTTGGTTGAAGCACATTGTGGGGTTTGGTTGAAGCACATTGTGGGGTTTGGTTGAAGCACATTGTGGGGTTTGGTTGAAGCACATTGTGGGGTTTGGTTGAAGCACATTGTGGGGTTTGGTTGAAGCACATTGTGGGGTTTGGTTGAAGCACATTGTGGGGTTTGGTTGAAGCACATTGTGGGGTTTGGTTGAAGCAGATTGTGGGGTTTGTTTGAAGCACATTGTGGGGTTTGGTTGAAGCACATTGTGGGGTTTGGTTGAAGCACATTGTGGGGTTTGGTTGAAGCACATTGTGGGGTTTGGTTGAAGCACATTGTGGGGTTTGGTTCAAGCACATTGTGGGGTTTGGTTCAAGCACATTGTGGGGTTTGGTTCAAGCACATTGTGGGGTTTGGTTGAAGCACATTGTGGGGTTTGGTTGAAGCACATTGTGGGGTTTGGTTGAAGCACATTGTGGGGTTTGGTTGAAGCACATTGTGGGGTTTGGTTGAAGCACATTGTGGGGTTTGGTTCAAGCACATTGTGGGGTTTGGTTCAAGCACATTGTGGGGTTTGGTTCAAGCACATTGTGGGGTTTGGTTGAAGCACATTGTGGGGTTTGGTTGAAGCACATTGTGGGGTTTGGTTGAAGCACATTGTGGGGTTTGGTTGAAGCACATTGTGGGGTTTGGTTGAAGCACATTGTGGGGTTTGGTTGAAGCACATTGTGGGGTTTGGTTGAAGCACATTGTGGGGTTTGGTTGAAGCACATTGTGGGGTTTGGTTGAAGCACATTGTGGGGTTTGGTTCAAGCACATTGTGGGGTTTGGTTGAAGCACATTGTGGGGTTTGGTTCAAGCACATTGTGGGGTTTGGTTGAAGCACATTGTGGGGTTTGGTTGAAGCACATTGTGGGGTTTGGTTGAAGCACATTGTGGGGTTTGGTTGAAGCACATTGTGGGGTTTGGTTGAAGCACATTGTGGGGTTTGGTTGAAGCACATTGTGGGGTTTGGTTCAAGCACATTGTGGGGTTTGGTTGAAGCACATTGTGGGGTTTGGTTGAAGCACATTGTGGGGTTTGGTTGAAGCACATTGTGGGGTTTGGTTGAAGCACATTGTGGGGTTTGGTTGAAGCACATTGTGGGGTTTGGTTGAAGCACATTGTGGGGTTTGGTTGAAGCACATTGTGGGGTTTGGTTCAAGCACATTGTGGGGTTTGGTTGAAGCACATTGTGGGGTTTGGTTCAAGCACATTGTGGGGTTTGGTTCAAGCACATTGTGGGGTTTGGTTGAAGCATTGTGGGGTTTGGTTGAAGCACATTGTGGGGTTTGGTTCAAGCACATTGTGGGGTTTGGTTGAAGCACATTGTGGGGTTTGTTTGAAGCACATTGTGGGGTTTGGTTGAAGCACATTGTGGGGTTTGTTTGAAGCACATTGTGGGGTTTGTTTGAAGCACATTGTGGGGTTTGGTTGAAGCACATTGTGGGGTTTGTTTGAAGCACATTGTGGGGTTTGTTTTGACTCAAAGATCGTGTGCAAGGCAAGGCTCTGACGTTCCTGCTCGGGCCTCTTGAGCACGTGTCATGTGGTTCAGCACGTTGTGGGTGGACCGATGTGACGATGCCACTGTAGGTCTCATCGTGGTCTACTTCTCATCTCAGGCGCCTCAGTAGTGCACCAGTGGTTCTACTATATGAGGTATATGGGGTAGTGGGGGTATGTTGTATGGTGGCATGTGTGCAGAATGGTATTAAACACCACAAACGGTGTACCATCCATGGTGTGTGATATAGGTTTCTTTTGATAATTCTCATAAGTTACTCGATTGCATTGTACATAATGAACACTCCCTAATCCAGTTTCAAATCGTCTCAACCCTTCTTTGCTCTCCCAACACCCCCGTGCCAGGTGTACGGCCCTGAAAAGGACAACGACTATGCCACGTCACCATTCCCCGGGATCCGCGACGCCATTGCTGACGTCATCAAGAGCAGCGCCTCCAAAAAGGAAAATCCCGAGGCTGAGGCAGGTGGTGCTATGAAGGGGGGTGACAATAACGAGGATGGGGAGGAGTGGAGTGCGGTGCAGCATGAGATTTTCCGGGCGGCACGGGCGATCGAGAGGGCCGCGAAGATCCTCGAGGGGCAGCTGCTGTGAGCTGGTGTGCGGAGTGGTTCAATGCGATGGTGTGCAGTACAGTGTGTTTCCGGGTGGTGGAGCTGTGACATGGGATGGTGTGTTCCGGTTGGTGGCACAGTGTGCTGTGGGCAGTGAATCACTGCTGTAAGCACCAGGATGCATGTGCTCATTGCTGCGGACACAAGCTTTGCCAGTGGTGGTGTCCGGTCCGACCCGTCTGTTCAGATGTGCCATGCCAAGACTTCTTTTGCTAGTTATTGTATAGAGCGCCCTGTTGTCTTGGCCCGTCTGCGGACCCGTCTAGATGCCAACAGTGCTAGAAGCTCTGTAGTCATGGATATACTAGGTAGTGTAGTGGGCAATGGTGCGTGGGTGGTGCAGTTTCTCACTGCTGCCCTGTTGTATGAACCAGTGTGTGACAGAAAAAGTGTTTCGCATGCTTTCCTTTCACTTGCATTGTAGACATTTGCTTGTCCGAACTCAAGCACTCTGCCATGGATGGCAGTAAAAGAGCACATGCAGTACGGTACCGTAGGTACCCTGGGCAGGGCAGCCTCGTATGCAAGAGGGATCAGGATGAGGACGGAACCCTGCCATGCAAACCGAATCAGAGTGAAGGACTTTTTTTTAGGCGCCTCAAAAACCGAATCAGAGTGAAGGACTTTTTTTTAGGCGCCTCAAAAACCGAATCAGAGTGAAGGACTTTTTTGAGGCGCCTCAAAAAACCGAATCAGAGTGAAGGACTTTTTTTTAGGCGCCTCAAAAACCGAATCAGAGCGTATTCCTATCCTCGTATCAAGAAAACCTCATATCAACCTCCCACTGAAAATTCCCCTAAACCCAAAACCTCTCGCTACTTTTACCAGGCAAAAAGTACAATCTTGATACGGTATGAGGTTTTCTTGATACGAGGATAGGAATACGCAGTGAAGGACTTTTTTGAGGCGCCTCAAAAACCGAGTCAGAGTGAAGGACTTTTTTTTAGGCGCCTCAAAAACCGAATCAGAGTGAAGGACTTTTTTTGAGGCGCCTCAAAAACCGAGTCAGAGTGAAGGACTGTGCTCCCTATTGTCAAGTGAGATGCTTTTCACCTCCTCGATCAATGAGTAGCTGTGCCTGTGGAATCACCATGACACAAGGTATGAAGGAATGGCTGCACTGCACGGATTGACATTGTTCAAGAGTACACACTTGAGTCGCTGGAGCGTGGATGTTATATGCATCGCATACTGCCTGAATACAAAGACCAAAGGCAGAGGATTGTCAACTGGAAGGTAGGGTGCGCTGCTTTCACCATGAGCAGTGCCTGGAAGAGCTTGGGTAGGGTGCGTCAGTGATAGACAAGAACATGGTCCTGTCGGGGAGCAAAGGCCATCAGGGATTTCGGCAGCACAGCCGGCATGGTGTTCCCTACTACCGGTCCATCGCACTCTGCTCCCTATCTTCGCATCATTCGTCCGTGAGCAACGTCTGAAAAATCTTGGGTCCGTCGGGAATGACTGAGAGGTCCACATAGTCTGGGATCTCCGCCTTGCTGACCCATGCGAAATCCTTTATTGTCCGGGCAGCTGGTTGGAAATCACCTCCTAGGACATGGGCTCGGAAGAAGAAGGCCGTGGCTGCAGCCTGGGATTGAATCAGAGAGGGAGATGGGGAGGTGGAGGGAGGTGAGAGGATTGTTTAGGCAGGGTGACAATGGTCGCATCATGCGCTGGTTGGAACGAAGAGGGAGATGGGGAGGTGGAGGGAAATGGTTGTATCATGCGCTGGTTGGAACTCTCCTCCTACGACATGCGCTCGGAAATAGAACGCCGTGGTAACAGCCTGGTCGGAACAAAGATTGCCAACGGGAGAAAGGGGAACGTGTGTGGGGATGGGGGGCGGTGTGAGGGAGGTGAGGTGAGACAGGCCCATGACTGAGATAGGGTATGGCATAGAGTGACACGAGGTGTGACAGAGGTGTGACACAGAGGTGTGACAGAGGTGTGACAGAGGTGTGACAGAGGTGTGTCGTAAGGTGCTGTGCGAGAAGAATGGGTGCAAAACAAGGATGGCACAAACAGGTCAATGCGAGAATCAGGATGTACAACCTTCCATACTCGTTACAGTCACACGCAGCAGCAATGGGTAGAATACAGGAGGGCCACAGGCACAGGGCACATCGCGAGTGAGGCACCCACGAAATGGACACATGTAGTGCTCGCCTGCACCTCTCATGTCGCAACACAACAACACAACGGGTATTACCATGGGAGCCAAAGGGAGGAGCATGCATAAATGCACCTCTCATGTTGCGATGGAACGCAAAGACCACAATGGGTATTACCATGGGAGCATGCGCGCAGGGAGCATTGCCGACAAAGTAGAGATCGAGGGAGGAGCCGAGGGATGCTGCTGCTGCCCTCTCCGCACACTGCAGGTGAACACAAAGGTGAACACAAAGGTGAACACCAAGGTGAGGTGCATGCACGGGGGAAGTGGAGAGAGGAAGAAAGAAGGTGAGAAGAGGAGGGGAAATAACAGAGAAAGAGAATGTGGGCAAGGAAGGAAACCAAGCGATGGAGAAAAGGAAGAAGGCCATGGTGCAGGGTTGGGAGGGATGGTGGTAAGAGGAGTCACTTTTAAGAATTCCATGTGAATCAAGTAGGTACTCCTGGAATGAAACACACGTGGCATGTGAAACATACGTGGCATGTGAAGCACATGTGGCATGTGAAGCACACGTGGCATGTGAAGCACGCGTGGCATGTGAAGCACACATGGCATGTGAAGCACGCGTGGCATGTGAAGCACACGTGGCATGTGAAGCACACGTGGCATGTGAAACACACCTGGCGCATGGAGTCTTCGCCTTCATAAAGCTTCTCCGGAAAGTGCCACGTGTCGCTGCCTGATTGGCCGGCAAGCGAGGGCCCCTTGAGCAGCAGGTACAGGCGCTTGTCCAACGCGCGCTGCAGAGACCTGGAGAGAAGAAAAGATGGGGAAGGAGGACGGAAGGAAGAGGGAAAAGGGGGAGAGTGGGGGGAGTGGGAGCAGCAGCAGGTACAGGTGCTTGTCCAGTGCGCGCTGTGATGAGGCGATACAGAAAGGTACAGGTACAGGTGCTTGTCCAGTGCGCGCTGCAGGGACCTGGTGGGGGTGGGTGGTGGAGAGGGGAGGCGGAAAGAAGGAAGGGGGAAGTTGGGGGAGTGGGGTCATGGCAAGAGCAGGTAGGTAAAGGTGCTTGTCCAGCGACCGCTGCAGGGACCTGGTGAGAGGGGGGAGTGGGGACAGTGAGGGGGAGGGAGGTCAGTGAGGGGGGGGGGAGGTCAATGAGGGCGAGGGAGACACAGAAAAAGCAGTTAGGCTTAGCAAAGCTGAGGAGGTTTGATTGTGCTGGTCAGTGAAGTTGTCTGAAAGGGAGCTTCTTTACTTCACGCCTTCCCACCCACCCACCCACCCACCCACCCACCTGACGTCATTAGCCTCGTCAGCAGCGGTTCGTCTGGAAGGCGCGTCGAACGGCGAGTCGAGGACTCCCGCCCAATACTCGTCTTCCTCCTCGCCCTCGCCCTCCGCGCCTGCTGCGCGCGCGGCGGAGGGCGTGCGCGGAGGGGAGAGGGGTGTTCGCGGGGGGTTGAGCGGGGGTGCGCGGGGAGAGGAGGTAGGGGTAGGTTGGGGAACGGAGTAGGGAATGGTTTAGCGGGTAAGCCGGCGGGAAGACAGGGCCACGGGATATGTTGTTTTTTGAGAAGACTCAAGAGGAGGCATGCGTGCTGGAAGACTGGTGATGGCGAAACGAGGGGGGAGCGGCCAGAGGATCTGCCGTTAGGAGAGAAGAGAAGCACGGAACCGACACGTGGCACACCTGCATTGGTCGAAGCGGCCGCGTCCATAAATTCTTTAGGATACTGCTTGCGATATTGCTGCTTCCGCTCGAAACTGTCACAAATGCAGAGGGAACAAACGGGTGCTCGTTATTGTCACACCTGGCATGCTAGCAAACCAATAAACGCCTTGACGTAACCAATCAACCCGATGCGCGAAAGAGGCTACTACGATCACGTGCATAAAAGCCTCGAGAGATTCCCAGGGCGCCTCGATACACGAACCTAAACGACTCGTATTTAAGAGCCCATTCGGGAGGCTTCGGGATGACGACAGGCAGCCGCTCGACCAATAGCGACGCGATCAGCTGCTGACCCGCCGAGCCGCTATCTACGCTGCTCTCTGCGCTGAATAATCTTGCAGCAGCAGCGGTGCCAGCTGACACACTTTGATTCGCCATCGCGGACGGCGCGATCCATGGTGATCTGCTCGCGGCTGACGCGGACAGGCAAGCAGGAATCGCGCCGGATGGTGCGGATCCGGCAGGAGCGGCAGAGGCGGCGAGGCGACCTAAGTGAATTGCTTGAACTGCGGCTCGACGCATGGTACGCGGACGGACAAAATTCCGTGGTTTCCTAGCGTCGATCGCGCTGCGGGTCTCGACGATCAAGGTGTGGTAGTTAGGGGAAAAACAGGTTACAAGGAGCGAGAACCCGCAGCGTTCAATATAGGAGCGAACCGCCAAATATCATGTGCATAAGAACATCAGTTTAGGAACCTCGAGAGGCTGAGCGAAAGAGGCTGTGTACCATCCCTGTTTCTCGCGAAATTCGCGCATTCAAAAGCGACAGTAAACCATGACCCCGGGGTCCTCGTTTCGCAAAAGTTATTGAATACGCACAGTAACCATCTCGCGAACACGACACTCCTTTCCTACCCCCTGGCTGCTTCCTTTTGGTTGGACCCCCCAAAACTGCACGGCAATCCCAAAGACTTCACCAAAAAGCACACCCCTTCACTTACCTACTGCATTTTCTTGCTTGCTGTGAGAATCTGAAAGCTTTTGATCAGCACGCGCTCTTGAAACCGAACAATGCTGGTCAGCCTTCCGAGGCCCGCAATTAACGATGGCCCTTGTAAGAATCTTCCGGTGGTCCGCGCTAAATCAGAACCTCCTGAACGCTTGCATTCTCGCATAGCTGTCAAACCTCACAGGGTGGTTCGCCCTCCCCTCTGCGACCAATATACAGGAATATTCAAGCAGCCCAAAATCTCCCATTCAAGAAAAATCCCTATGAACCTTTCCCGGGCAGCGCTAGTAACGCCATTCCTGCTCCACGCCCCCCCTAACACGAGAAACGGTAACGCCGTCACATTCCCGACTTCCAGGTCCAATCCCCGCAATCTCCGCACGAAAGTATGCTCGGCCGACGGAACCAGTGTATCAAGAAACCCTCGTTTCGTGGCTCTCCCGCAACCTACAGAAAGAGCACCCGACAGATCACGCAAGATTATGACCCACAAATACCAGGCTGAAACAGGAAATCATGGCGCACCACGAAATGCAGGGAAAACACTACACGAGCAGCACCAATCGTTTATGGACATGTGGCAGCGCATCGGCGTGGAGCCAGGAGAGCCTCTGATATGCCTGGGGATGGATCCGCGGGCAACTGACGGGAGAAGTGCGAAGGAGAGATTAAAGCCAGGAATGGGGGCGGAGGAGAAGGAGGAGGAGGAGGAGGAGGAGGAGGAGGAGGAGGAGGAGGAGGAGGAGGAGGAGGAGGAGGAGGAGGAGGAGGAGGAGGAGGAGGAGGAAGGGGAACGAGGCCTCTTCGTCTGCTCACCTGGAAATTATCCCTCCGCTGGTCCCTCTGTTCCCTCTTCCGCGCCTTCCGCTCCCCCCTCTACCCCCACCTCTTCCCCGTCTGCGCCTTCTCCTCCCCCGTTTGCGCCCGCCCGTCCCCACATCCCCGCCGGCACGCCTCTGCTGTCCGTGCCTCTGCGCGCCACGCTATGGGTGCCTCTGCACGCCACGTCAGCAGGAGGGGGAGGCGGAGGAGGGGGTAGCGGGAGTCCAGTGCAGCGACTGGCGATCGCGCTGCTGCAGGCAGTCTGTGGAGAAGGGGAGGGAGGGGTGGGCGGTGGGGAGCGGGAGGGAGGGAGGGGAGTAGTGGGGAAAGAGGCTGGTGGGGAGAAGGCGATGCAGGGAGGTGAGGGGAGGGAGAAGGAGGAGCAGCAGTGGGAGGAGGGGGCGGCGGGCAGCATATGGCGACAGTATGCAGAGGAGCTGCTTCCGAGAGAGATAGAGGCACGTGGTGCTGGTGTGATAGCATGCATGGTGTAGTGTGGTGCGGTGTGGTGTGGTGTGGTGTGGCATGGCATGGCACAGAATGGTAGACATGGCACATTACGGTATGAAATGATAAGCAGTGAGCGAGCATACTATAGTATACCATGGGAGGGGGGTACATGGTACGTACGAAATACCGTTTCTCCTTTCAGTCACCCCACTTGCCCCTCCTGTTAGAATAACAGTTGGAAGTTAGAAACGAGAAAGAGGGGTTGGCACTAGAAGGCAGTTGAGTACATATAGGAAACCCTAGATTGGGCTGTACTCACTATTGAGTACCCCACTGCAGGCTAGACAAATATAACATTCTGACACACCCCCATAGCCAAAGTGGGGTGTAATCAGTACAGCAAGCAAAGCAAAACAAGCTCAGAGTGGATCACAAAGTCACCACACATTCTGAGCACAAGTACAGGAAGTAGTAGTTTATAGTTCACAGCATAAGTAAAGCTAGAGGCTATCACAGAGGGCAAGTGAGGAGGAGGAGGCTGGACTAATAGGAAAGGAGAGAGGAGGCAACGGCGGAAGCTGCAGACACACGGGCAACAGGAGCGGCGCGCACTGTGGCTACCGAAGGCGCACCTCCGGACTACAGGAGTAACTGGCTCCGCGGCTAAGACGAGCGGCAGGAGCAACGGACCCACGGGCGACTGGCGCAGCAGCATCACTGGGCTACCGGAAGCGCACCTCCGGACTACTGGCGCTGCTGACGACACGACGGCTACCTCCACCCAACCTCCCCCACTGTCGCACCCCCCTGTCACACACCCCCTGCTGCACCCCTAGGTTCACTCACACTCCACCCCCTAGCACCACTCCGTCGACCCACACACACCCACCCCCCTCAGCGGCAGCTGCAGCAGTGGGAGACGAAGGAGGAGGAGGAGCAGGTGATGCCACACACCCGCCACCCCCAAACCCTAACACAGGGCAGGGCCGGAGATGGCGGGTAGGGAGGTTACGGGGGAGGGGGGGGAGGGGGGGGCAGGGCCGGTACAGGGCCGGGGCAGGATCGGGGACGGACGGCAGGGCCGGGCAACGCAGGGCCGGGCAGGGCCGCGACGAAGACGAGAGGGGCCGACGCGTGGCCCTCTTCTGTCGCGGCCCCCCCCAGGGCGCCGCGACGGGCGACGGGAATTGGGGCCGCGCGGGCCCCCGTTGGCGCCGCGACGGGCGACGAAGGGGGGGCGCCGCGCGGGCCCCCGTTGACGTCGCGACGGGCGACAAAAGGGGGGGACCGCGCACGAGCCCCCCGGGCGACGAAACCGCCGTGCGCCCCGAGGCGCGCGACGGGCAGGGCACCGTCGCGCGCCACGGGGCGCACGACGGGCAAATCAGGGCGTCGCGCTGCCCCCAGGGCGGCGCGACGAGCAGAAAACCGCCGCGCGACTCGAGCTCGCGGCGGGAAGAAAAAAGGCCGCGCGCCATGGGCGCGCGGCAGACAGGAAGACAGTGCGCGCCCGAGGCGCGCGATAGGCAGTATAGCAGCGGAAGGCAATGGTGGGCCCATGCACAGGATCGACCCAGAAGGGTCGACCTGCTCTGATTCCATGTTAGAATAACAGTTGGAAGTTAGAAACGAGAAAGAAGGGTTTGCACTAGCAGGCAGTTGAGTACATATAGGAAACCCTAGATTGGGCTGTACTCACTATTGAGTACCCCACTGCAGGCTAGACAAATATAACATTCTGACACCTCCCCCCTCCCCTCTTTTTCCCATCTCTCCTGTCACCACCGTCCCTGCGTCTCTTCAGTTCAGACTCTGGCTGATTGGAGCGAGGAGGAGTTAGAGCACCTGCAGTCGCCGCCAGCAGCAGCGGAGGTGCGAGGTTACGCGGCAGAGATGGCAGCAATGGAAGCGGCAGTGTCTGCTGCCGTGCCAGGGGCCGGGAGAGAGAGAGCCCGCTGGGCTCTGCGCATTGTTACCTCACGTTCCTTTTCCATCTCTAATGCCGCTGACCCTGCCGGTGCTGCTGCTGGTGCTGCCAGTGCTCCCGGTGGTACCAGTGCTACCGATGCTGCCGAGCCTGCCGTCCTTGCTCATCCTGCCGAACCTGCCAAGGCTGGTGGTGCTGCGGAGTTCAGAGGAGCCGCTGTGGACACACCGCTCAGGGATGGGGACAGGGGTGGCGGATCGGGGGAGAAGTTGCCATCTGCATTTCAGGTATGTGCCTCTCTTGCCATCTGCATTTCAGGTATGTGCCTCTCTTGCCGTCTGCATTTCAGGTATGTGCCTCTCTTGCCATCCTCTGCGCTTCTGTGAGGCTGGTTGGAGATGGCATGCATGGGTAGTGTCTGATGGGGTAGTGTCTGATGGGGTAGTGTCTGATGGGGTAGTGTCTGATGGGGCAACTAAGTGGTCGCCCAGATGGTCACATCCCGTGCTTCCCCCACAAACTCTCAGCCTTCTTCCAGTCCCGCTATCAGACACGCCCATTTGCGCTTGCAGCACTGCCACTGCCACTCTTGGCACCGACTCGGGGATTCAATCTTGGCCATGCTGTTCTCTCCTTCCTCCCTTACATCCTCTCTTCGTTCCTCAGTCCCATCCCACCCTTTTCGCTCGTAATAGGAGGAGTGCAGTTTGTGAGCTGCAAACACTACAGCCCTTACACGACGTGATAAAGGATTGGTTTTGAAACGACTCAAAGCCAATATTCTACCACTGCATGCAGCCCTTATGTTATTTGTGAAGACGGCTGTGTGCTGCTGAGCTGCTCTCTCCACCCTCCCTTCCGTCCTCCCTCGCACCTCAGCACCATCCCATCCCATCCTTTTTTCCCCCCTCTCCCTCCCTTGTTTTCTCCCCTCTCTCCCCATCGTTCCCCACTCCAGGTGCTGGTGCTGCTGGTGGACATGGCCCATCCTCGTTACAAGACATTCGTATCCCACACCGTGTCCTCTCCCCTCCCCTCTCCTCTCCTCTCCTCTCTTCTCCTCTCCTCTCCTCTCCTCTCCTCTCCTCTCCTCTCCTCTCCTCTCCTCTCCTCTCCGCTCCACCCCTACGTGCTGGTGGACATGGCCAACCACACCTGCAGCGCGACCACACATTCACATGCAGCTGTGCAGCCGTCTTACACTCCCTCTACCTCCTTGCTCCTCCATCCATGCCCCATGCGCCTCATGCCCTATGCTCTCCTCTCATTCCCAGGTGCTGCTGGTGCCTCTAGTGGACATGGCCAATCACGCCTGCAGCGCTGCCATGCCACCCATTCACACGCACCCATGCAGCCGTCTCACACCAGTCCTCTCTCTCCTCTTCCAACCACGGCAGGTGCTGGTGCCTCTAGTGGACATGGCCAATCACGCCTGCAGCGCTGCCACGGATTCACATGCTTCTGTGCAGCCTTCCGCCACGTGGCGCATCAGGAGAGGGCGGACGCAGGTGGGAGAGTGGGGGATGCATGTGGATTTGGTGGTGAAACTAGAGGGCTGGGTAGAGCTGAAGAGGTTTCAGAGATAAAGCAACTCGAGTGATGAGGGCGTTTGGTCTGTGCATGTGTGGGCATGTGGGTGGAGAGATAAAGCAACCCCAATCCCAAACTGTCCTTCCCCTCCATTTCCTCCCTCCCATCCCACCAACCACGGCTTCGCATCCACGCCATCTCCTCCCCGTTTTGAGCTGCTGGCATCACGCCCACTCCGTCCCGGTGCCACAGTCACCATCTCCTACAGCCCTTCAGATTCTCACCCCCTCATCCTGCTCGCTTTCCCATCCCTCTCATCCTACCAACCAGGGCTTCGCGTCCACGCCGTCCCCTCCGCGCTTTGAGCTACTCGCATCTCGCCCACTGCGCCCCGGCGCCCAAGTCACCATCAGCTACGGCCCCCTCACCTCCCTCGCCTTCCTCCTCTCCTTCGGCTTCCTCCCGTGCAACAACCCCGCCAACCGAATCACCATCTACTCCCACTCCGAGGTAATGTGTGAAGAATGAGGGAAAGCATGTGAAAAACAACGTGCAATTCAGTTTTGGTATCCCAACCAGCTCTACTGGCTGGGATCGCCCTGTAGTCCAATCTATCTGCCAACTCAACGTTCAAGACCCAGCTAAATTTCCATCACATCCCATCCTTCCCGTCTCCTCTTCAGTCTAAATCCGTTTGCGCACTAAACCAAATGCCTTCGAACTTGATGAATCCAGTCTATCTTCTTGTCTAACACCGAGCTATTTCACCCGAACTTGAGCATTTCAGTTTCAAGATTCCACTCCACTGTATAAAACTCAGTCTACCTCCACAACTCCCATGCTCTCCCACTGCTGTTTCTTCAAAATTCTCACAAGACAACTAGCTTGATTCCACATGGCAACTCAACTCGTCTCCACACCTCCCATGCTCTCCCCCCACGGTGGAGCAAACGATGGACGATGTGGAGGAGAGGGTCACTCGCCTGCAGCACAAGCGGCACTTGCTCTCACAGATGACTGCTCCTCTGCGTTTCCCGTGGTTTAGCTAATGACCTGAGAAGTGTTTCAAGTTTATCCATCCTCCCACCCATGCCACGGTGGTGCAGCAAATGATGGATGATGTGGAGGAGAGGGTCACGCGCCTGCAGCACAAGCGGCACCTGCTCTCACAGATGACCCCAGAGGACGCTCCTCTGCTCGCCTACACCGGTAAGGCCCTCGCCTCTCCTCACCTGCACTCACCGCCGCTCACTCTCGCTTGCTCTCTCTCTGGCCTTTCCACTCCTCATCCATCCACCTTGCATGCCTCCCTGTCCCCTCATCCAGGCGGCATAGAAACAAGGCTGATGGAGTGTCTGTTCGTGCCGCATGCACCTTTAGTTTGTGCCATCGCCCGTGTCACCCATCCGCCCTGCCTGTCTAACCATCCAGGCGGCATAGCAACAAGGCTGATGGAGTGTCTGCTCGTGCTGCATGCATCATCAGCAGAGGAGCTCGCTCATCTCGACCACCACTGGACTGCCTCTCGCTCCCTCACTGCTGCCAACGTCTCGCCGCGTACACGCTCCGTGGCAGGTATGTTACCGCCACTCTGAGCTGGTTGTTGAGAGCTGTAAGGTAGCAGTTGGTCTATTTTTGAGGGGCCTCGAAAGGTGGCAGGTGTGTGCCTTCTTTTCTGAGCTTGCTGTTGAGAGTTGTAAGGTAGCAGCTGGTTTGCAAATAGATCATCTCCCCATGTGCTCACTCCATGGCAGGTGCATCTTAATCGCCTTGCGCTGATTTCCATGTTGCGATCATGCACAGACGTTTTCCTTTTACGCGTTCTTCTTTCACCCTTTGATGCTAAAATGAATGCGGAACTTACCCACATAAGCATCCCACACCATGCCACACTGTGCCTCTTCTCTTTCACCTCCCCGGAACAGCCAAGCAGCTGGTGGATCGCTGCAGGGAGCTCCTGAACGACTACCCAATCACACTGCAAGCCGATGAGGCACTGCTGGAGCAGCTCATGGGAGCCGCGGTGAATGATGAGCGGATTGAGGGGAGTGAGAGGGGTGAGCATGAGCAGGAGGGGAAAACGCAGCGGCGCTTGCAGGCGGCAGTGGAGTACCGGGTGGAGGAGAAACGGATCCTTGCAGATGCCATTTCTCGCTACGGTAGGATGGTGTGAGGCTGGCAGGCGGGCAAGTCATAACTAGTGAGGCACATTCACCTAGTATGGTAGTGCCTCGTTTGACCATGATGTGAGCTTGATTTTTTTCACTTAATTAGAATGGATGTGGTGGTGTCTAACTAAAGAATTGTGCCGGTCAAAATTGTTGGGGCTGATTGTACAGTACCAAAACATAGTGTTGAAGGAGTGAAGGAACGATGTCAGGCTGTTGATGTCACATCACATTGCTGATGTCCATGCCATTCGCGAATTGCAATCTACAAGGTACCTACCTTTCCGAAACTATAGAGCATGGACCATGGTTTGTTGGGATGTCGCACATTTCTGAGACAAGGAACAGCCAATTTCAAGGGCATTCTGGCAACGGCACAATCGCTACGAGTAACTTTTCTTCACCATGCTGTGTGACCCTATATCAAACCATGCAACAGCAAGTGCATGCCTGGCTTGCTGGCTTTAAACATGAAGCGTCCAGTTTTGATTACTATTATTCAACCCAAACTTGTAGGCATGGTGCTCAAATTGCGGTCCAACTCCAGCTGGAGCGAGTCGTGCTTGCAGCATGCACGGCTGGTAACTAAGCATGACGGAACCTGCAGAATACACACCAGTAAGATGTAACAGGCGTGGAAAGTAGAGAATTGTTGCAGCACACGCCTCAGTAGGGCATCAACCAGTGGCTGGTAGATCAGAGGAACATGATTAGCAGTAACACAAACCGATGGACCACATCACCAGTTTTTTAGTCGACTCAAAAACTGTGGCTGGCAGATCAGAGGAACATGATTAGCAGTAACATGAACCGATGGAGCACGTCACCATGTGGCTTTGCGACTATCGATGCTACAGAAATTTGAGACCATTGAGATGCACTCCATGCAAACCCTCTTTGCCCAGATTAATGGTGTGTGCACGTGTATATGTGTGTGCGTGCCTGGCTGCGTGTATGTGTGTGGGTGTGTGTGTGTGTGTGAGTGTGAGTGTGTGTGTGTGAGTGTGTGTGTGTGAGTGTGTGTGTGTGAGTGTGTGTGTGTGAGTGTGAGTGTGTGTGTGTGTGTGTGCGCGCGCGCGCATGCGTGCATGTGTGTGTGTGTTTTTGGTTGAAGCCAATTCACCGCAGTCACTCTCCAGCCAAACCTCACTGCACACACAATCTTCCTCTGTTCCATCGCACCAAACAGCTACCTACATTCCACAGGGGAATAACTACACCTTGTTGACTCACGCAGAAACAAAGCCAACAGCAATGCATTGCCAGGTTCAGCAGAAGCATGTCCAAGTAGAGAGAGGGGAAAAGGGGGGAGGACTCAGCGTATTCGCATCACGTGGACACAGCGCTCGCCCTTCCTGAGGTGACCTTTGATTCAACTGAGAGTCACTTTTGAATCGACACAGAAGTAAAACAATAAAGAGTGGAAAAGGGGTGGACTCACTGTATTCTCATCACGTGGACTGAACGCTCGCCTTTTCTTAGGATGACGGATGGGAACTTGGGCTCATTCACCTGCCACAAGGGCAGTGAGCGTGGTACATCTTTTGAGAAGACACCAAGAACGTGTGGCATGCATGGACTTGTAAATCCATTCTGCATGTGGATGTGTCTACCAGTTGATTGGCTGTGCAGGCACAAAGTGATCATGAAGGGGAGAGTGCAGTGGAACACATCTGAACAACAAAGGTAGAATTCTGGATGGACAAGGAGGTTTGGGCAGCAGCAAAAAAAAAAAAAAAAAAAAAAACTTGTGGTTGCATGTCATAAGTTGGGTGCATGTGGAAGGATGATGCTTGGAAATTGCAAGAGCGTGTGTCAAGAGTGTCACGATTGGGGTCGAAGTTGCAGCAGAGATGCATGTGGAGAGGAGAGGCGTCAAGATAGAACGTGTCCATATTCAGTGGCAGCAGATGCAGTCACTGTTGAGGTGTCCAGATTCAATGAACGTATGTACCGCATTTGGGAAGCCCTGAAATGGAACGCAGGGAGGAGACAGAACGGTAATGAGTGGTAGAGAGACGTTTAGAATAGTGAGACAATGCGTCGATGTGCTTGCGACATTGGATAGCATGGTAGGAGGATACGAGGGAAGAGATCATGGGGAGAAACGGGACACGAGATGAAGGTTTATTTTTTGAGACAAACAGCGCTTCAAAGAGCTGACCTGTGTTTCAAGACAGAAGCCTGCGTGCTGCTGATAAGCTGTGCCTCCCTTTCCTGTCACCAATGCAATCAAAGCCATGCCATGGAATAACAAGTATTGAAATGACATGCAATCAATGTCAGTAAGGAAATGACTGGATTAACAAGTATTGAAGCAATACAATGCTCAGATGAAGGGCGCATGCTAACAGGGAGTCAAGGTAATACTCGAATGCAGAGAATCAATGCCCCACCTTTGAACGAACCATCCAGGAAGTTGCCTGTGTAGAACTGCATGGCAGGAGCATTAGTCGACAAGGTCATGAGGATGCCTGTCTCCGGGTGCCGCACTCGGGCAGCCAGAAACAATTTCTGCCCCGCCACCACTGCTTCATCTTCATTTGTTGCCCCACCCGCCAATGCTCCTTCCGATCCTTCCGTTCCTGCCTCTCCCCCAGCCGGTAGATGTTCCCCGCTCCAACTGTGTGTGCAGTGCAGCACGTAGTTATGATCGTACCCGCCTGCCACGTCAGCCATGCGTGCGCCAATGGGGAAGTCCCGCGAGAGGAAGTCAAAGGGGGTGTCTGCTACCTGTGATGCGGTGGTGGTGGGAGTGGTTGAGTTGGGAAGAAAACAACGGCAGTTCCATCAGACGGTGGAGAGGAAACGGAAACGTTTCTTACCCCTCTCAAGGACATATTTTTTTTTTAGAGTTTTGTATTTTTCAAAAACATTCACGACACACACTGGTGGTGAAGTGTGCCGAATAATAATATCCTGAAAATACTTCAAATCACCCTGGAGCTGGCAGCGAGTGATGCTGCCAGGGAAGGCGTACCGGCAAAATTTCGCCTGTGGGGATGTGGTTGGCATTGATTGGCGTGTAGTGGGAGGCGTTGACTCGCACAACGTGGCCATGCACTGTTCCACTGGTATGGCCGCCCAGATTCCAGTACCTGTCAGCATGGGAAGGGGGTGTGGCCATGTGGGTGGGAAGGGGAGGGGAATGTCAATGGCGAGATGGAGAGATCGCGAGTTGGTGAGGGGGGTGTGGCTCAGGGGTGTGGATGTGGCAAGGCATAAGAGCTGATACAATATGGAGGGAAAAGGGAAGAAAAGGGATAGGGAATATAGGCTTGGATAGGCTTGTGATGTGACACGGATCGCACACGCCCCCATGGACCACCAGCCTGTAGTTCACCCTACCAGTGCATATCAATCCCCTCTATGCACCCACACACACGCACATGTGATGCACCCACACACACGCACATGTGATGTGCCATGCTGACGGGAGTATCCCTGTCAACAGCATGTGCCGCCATGACCACCACCATCTCCCCATCACCCAGCCTGTAGCTCACTCGGACCTCCACCCGCCCTGGGAACCCCTCCTCCCCGTCCCCACTCGTCAGCGCCAGATTCAACTCCGTGCTGCTGCCTGCTGCTCCTCCCTCCTCTGCTGCTGCTGCTCCTGCTGATGATGATACAGTGGGTACTATCTTGTCGATTTCATCCGTGCCTACCACACGCCATATTCGCTTGTCAAATCCCACTTTGCCACCTGTCAGCAGAAATGTGTTCAAGTTTGCCATGAAGAAGAAACGTGGCATCCCACTAGACTCGCTTTGGCCCAAGTGATTCTTTGTGTATGTCAAGTCAACACAGTCAAATTGCAGATAGTTTATGAATTGTGCTCACACATCTATCCCTCGCTGGCTCTCATGCAAGCATGCATGCTCACACACTCACATGCCCCTCGCTCATCCCTCACCATGCAGTGTGTTGGGGCGAGGGTCATCGTTGGCCGTCAGATGGTGGATTTGACCGTCCAGATTGAACTGAGCTCCTGCAATGCGATTGGCCACTCGGCCAACCACACAGCCGAAGTACGGCGATGTGCCATCCTGCACCATGACATACGCACCATGAAGAAGTAAAAACAAAAGAAGTAAAATTCCACCAAGTAATTGCTGCTTATCATATTACTTCCTGTAAATGTTTATTTGACGATGAGGGAGGAGCTTAAGCGAGAGGATACTGGCGCATGATGCTCACTTGTACCCAATATGGAAGCAAACACACTTGTTAACCAATAACATACCACTAGGTGAAACGTTAATAACCGTGTGCATGGCATATCGTTTTCATGACTGCACTGACACTAGCATTGTCCTGCTACCGTTGAATGTACAGTGCAATGGATGCTATTACCTGGTAAGGCTGCTATTACCTGGTAAGGCTGCTATTAGCGTGCTATTACCTGGTAAGGCTGCTAGTACCTGGTAAGGCTGAGCGGTGTCGAAGCCGAGAGCTATGTCATGCAGCTGACCTGAGGGAGGGTGGGAAAGGGAGAGAGAGGCCGATAGGAATGAGGGAATGTCAGCGGTGCAGCGAAGGGAAAGGCAGAGAGAAGACGATAAACGGGAAGAGAGGGAGATTAACGATGAGAGGGAGGGTCAGGAAAACGAAGTCTAGGAACGGAGTGCGGGAACGATGCCAGAAGAATCTATACCAAGGTAAGGTGGGGAATTGGAAAAAGTGGAGGGCCGGAAAAGGATATGAGACAGCGAATCTGAAACGGTTAGGCTCGTGACAGTAGTTGAGGCGACTCAACATGAGACATAGGGGCTAACCGCGTGCATCGGGAAACGTAAGGCTCGTGACAGTGGCGCCAAGGTTGGTGATGGTCGCCGTGAGGCCTCCTCGCTGCAGCTTGAAGAGCCTCACGTCGGGGTCCAGCGAAAAAGCTGGCGACGAGATGTCCTCCATCATTGGCGAGCGCACGAGTGTCAGAAAGATGAACGCGACGAAGCTATTAGCCGTTTCTTTTGGACCAGATGTGAAGAAATGACTAGAGATT